TCCTCTAGGCCCTCGCTCCGCAGGGTCCTGATCCTCTCATAAATAGCCCGCAATGCGTACTGGCCCGATGGCCGGCCGGGGTTGCGCACGGCTTGAATAGCTGCCTGGCTGTCTGAGAAGACCGTGATCGGGATAGGCTTCGCCCGATCTAGGGCCATTCGGGTCCCTTCCAATCCCCAACGTAGACCGTAGAGTCCAGTTCCGTTCCTAGGTGCTTCCTAGCGGTCTTACCTGCTCGAATAGAGACCGCGGCAGCTCCGATCATCCCCTGATAGCCGTTTCCATCTGTATACCAGATCTGCCGGTCCTCGCGGCAGATTCTATCGTGGGTCTGGACTGCCTCCTCTGCCCCCTCAATGATGCACCTGAGGGGCGACTCCCACGGGGCCAACACATGAGCCCGTCTGGTCTCCCACACCTCCTGCCTGCTGCCGTATCCATATAGCGGGCCTGTTTTCTTCCACTTCAGCGCCTCCATCGGAGAGTATCCGGAGGCCTTGAATGCCTCTTTCGACCTTTCCCAGCGGAGGCCCCGGGGGCAGGCTATAGCCGGCCCGGTTTGGATCCGAATGGCCGCCTCTTGAATAGTTTGTTGCATCTGTATTCGTATAGGGGGGAGGTAGAGCTCTACCTCTAGTGCAGCTGAAGCCGTGTTACGGAACGCGCTACTGATAAGAATAGCTGCGCGGGTTTGAATTCTCTGAAATTCATTAACTGTCTTCTGGAGCTTCTTGTAGTTGGCTGTCCGGCTCGTAGGGCTATATCAGGCTGCCGCCCCGTAGAGTAGCTGAGGGACTACCACTGCTAGGTAGATGCGGCGCATGCTCAGCAGGGAGGTCCCCCAGGTCGAGCCTGAGATGCTGCGGAGGGCTTCCAAAGTTCTGTTCGCCTTGGCAAGGGCCTTGGCCCTGTGAGTGTCAAACGAAAGGGTCCTATCGAACCAGATTCCTAGATATTTGGCGTACTCCACTGGCTTGATGATAGAGCCGGTTGCGTGGTCCTTGATGGGCAGCTGGTCGTGACCAGGGGGTTCCATTGGGGGATCCCAGTTGTCAACCTCTGGGTCCTCTCCCTGCCACGGCTCAGTGTATATATATTCCTGCGGTACAGGTCGTTCTACCGCAGGGTCAGGGCGAAGCGGGTTCTTGAAATGAATGAGTTCGAACTTATCGGGGGCAAATTTGGACGAATGTTGCCTTGACCATACCGCGGCCTTATCCAGGGCCCTCTCTAGAAGACGCTGGTTGACCGCGTAGCTATCCGAGATGGCCAGGGTGGCAACATCGTCAATCCACCCGTAGGAAACCGTCTTGCCTCCCTCCAGGAGGGGTGGCTGAATCCGAAGGGCCTCGATACCGTCGATCGATAGGGCGCGAATGAGGGGGGTATTGAATAGGAGGAATAGGATCGGCGATATAGGGGACCCCTGCGGGATCCCGGTAGGGGTTGAAATAAGGTTGCTGAGATATCCGGGGAGCTGCAGCCTTGTCGATCGGTTCGATAGAAAGGACTTGAGCCAGCCGGCGAAGAAATCGAGCCCTATCATACGTAGATTGTGGAGGAGCCGTATATGCGAGACGTTGTCGAAGGCGCCAGCTACGTCTAGAAGTAGCATACTGACTTTCCGGCCTTTGCCCCAGTTCTCAAAGATCTGGTCAAGAAGCAACTGGATCAGGTGATCGACTGAGATGCCCCTGCGGCCCCCTAGATGGCTCCTGGGTAGGAGATTACGTTCCTCCAGGGCCCAGGCGATCCGTACTGTAGCCACGGCCTCCAGGATCTTACCGAGGGTATTCAGGAGCGCTATAGGTCGGTAGGATTTGGCGATACGATAGTCCCGGGGGGCTGCTTTACGCAGTACTACAGTAGTCGATTGCTGAAAGTATTCCGGGTTGTGTCCAAGACGTAGGCACGCGTTAAATATCTGCGTTAGTGCCGCGAGAAAGGAAGAGACCTCACCCAACCAGTGCCAGACCTTGTTGGGGATGCCATCCGGCCCTGGTGCTTTGTCGGGAGGCGCCCGTCTGATGCAACGGAGTACCTCGTGCTCGGTAAGGTCCGGGAAGTCGATCTGGGGGGGTATCCGAGCCGTAGGGATATCAGAGAGGTCGGCCGGGGGTGGTTCAGGAAAGAAGGCTTTGCGGAATGCCTCTACCTTCTGTTCTGCGGTCTCTGCGAGCCCGCCATCTGTCTTTAGCGTCGGTATAAGGCCTCCGCGGGCTTCTCTGCTTCTTGCCCACTTAGCCGACTTCCACATGCCTCGAGGGCCTGATTCGGTAGCCTTGCGGACCCAGGAGCGGTGGCCCTGGCGCAGTGCCTTAGCCAATACCTTTCCTTTACGGTTCCTAACTTTGGTGTAGCGCTCCCACCGGAGGCCTGTAGTAGGGTCGGTAGGGCCGTTCGCAATAACTGATTCTGTGTACTCACGCCGGAATTTCCGGGTAATTTTGACCATTTCGCGGCATTCTGCATTGAATGAAGGGTTCGCCCACTTGCTAGGCTTCGCCCACGGGGTAGAGGCAGCGATTCCTTGGTTGATCGTCTCGATAAGGTATTCCATAGCGAGCTCAATATGCTGCTTTGTTTGTAAGGGAAAGGCCTTGCTCTGTAGGTTGAGGTCCACGAAGCTTTGCAGGTCTTTGACACTGCAGGCTTTCCAGTTCCTTCTTCGCTGTGCCTCGGGGGTTTTAGTGCTGATATCAAGAAGGGTTCGTATTGGATAGTGGTCCGAATCTGCGTGGTTTCGCTCGTTGATCTCGCAGGTAACGAGCCTAGGAGTCAGGTCCTGCGAGCCGAGAACCAGATCGATAGTGGTCTTGCTTCCGTTGCGCTCCCACGTGGTAGTGCCTGGCTCCAGCCAGAGGTCTAGGTACCTCGTATCTATCAGTTCCAGTAACTGGTCGGACGAGGAGTCTCTTTTAGAGCGTTCTCCTTCCCACGCCGGGTGGTGGAGATTAAAGTCGCCTAGTAGGAGCAAACGGGGGTTAGTAGAGCTGTTAGTAGGGCCGGCAGGGGTAGTTAGAGAGGTAACAAGGTCGAGGGTAGTGCTATCCACTTCGTCAGGTCGATTATATATATTGAAGATGCGCACTTGTTGGCCGTCAGCATCAGTGAGCTTGAGCTCCTGGACGTCTTTCGAATGCACTGTATGTTTCCAGGTGTTAGGATCGATTTGGCGTGATATGTAGAGGCACACGCGGGCCCGCTCGTCCCCTATCTCGGTCGAATCCGGGTATAGGAGCTGGTGGGAGCCGTTAGCAGGATGGTGGGTGGTATCCTGGTAGGGGTTCTCCCAAGGTTCTTGCACAAAGATGAGGTCAGCCTCTAGGACCGCAGGGTCCCGGAGGAACTGTGCCATTACCCTATCCTTTGATCGATTCACATTGTATTGAAGTACGTGTAGGGGTCTATTCATGGCGACAGTCCCTAGTACGTTTCCTTGATACTGAACGGCCAGGCGTGTTATTTTCGGCCAGGACGATCGTAGTCGAATGTTCTGAGGGGGTAGGTGCAGGGACTTTCTGCGGGTATTCCGCAACATCTCTTGATATAGAACTTTTTTGAGCCCAAAACCCGTTTGGTTCGGGTACAAAGCCCCAGTCCAAAATATGAGATTGTATATATACATATACCTAACAATAGTAGTATCCATTAGGCGTCAGCCAATAGTCGTTTTCTCTTTGGAGGATCCACTAGGACAATCAAGCCCCAGGACTCATCTCCAGAATTAGACACCCAGCCCTGAAGCTCAGCTTTCGTATCCTGAATAGCCTGTTTCCGTGCATTGATACCACCTGTTTATATAACAGAGTCCTTTTTAAACTCCTGGTACGTCTGAGACGCAACGAACTGTCCTAGCGTGTCATCCAAATGACCAGAAGGAAGTATATCCCTCAACAGACCCCACATCCTCGAGCGCGACAGCGCCGACGCTCCCACCAACATACCAGAGCCAAGGGCGATGGAAGGAAGCTAAAGAGCTACAGATGCAGATGATAGAGACTACGAAACAAGTGCTGGAGCCAGAACATCCCATCACTCTGGGCAGCAAAAATAATCTCGCACTATTATACTGGGACGAAGGACGATGGACGGAAGAAGAAGCCCTATGTGTGCAGGCAATGGAGGCGACGGAACAGATTCTAGGGCCAGAACATCCTCAAACTCTGAGTAGCAAAAGTAATCTCGCATCAATATACCTGAAGCAAGGACGATGGAAGGAAGCAGAAGAGCTACAGGTGCAGGTAATGGAGACTACGAGACAGATGCTAGGACCGAAGCATCCTAACACTCTGAATGTCATGGCCCACCCCACATCAACATACCAGAACCAAGAGCGATGGGAGGAAGCAGAAGCGCTACAGGTGCAAGTGATGGAGACTAGGAAACAGGTGCTGGGACTGGAGCATCCTGACGCTCTGAACGGCATGGCCTGCCTCGCATCAATATACCGGGATCAAGGACTATGGGAGGAAGCAGAAGACCTAGAATCAGGGTTGGTAGTTCAAATTTCAAAGCTTGAAATTTGCTGAAACTCCACTGCTCTGAATGAAACAATATTGAAATTCTGTGTACAGCCTTCGCGTTCGCATCCAGTTTCACTACGGTTTCTCTGCCTTTGACACTTGCGGTTGTATAGGCTCTGCTATTCGGTGTCGACGGGTATGAGCGGCCGAGCGGACTTACGTCGGCCCAGGAGGCAACGCGGGTAGCTGCATTGAGCGTGACGGGAGCAGGCGATGTGAGTATATTGTTGACAGCATTGCTGATGCTTGTTGGGCTCGCTTGCGGATTGCCATGCGTCCAAGGTCTCGGGTTTGGTCAAGAAGACGACGAGTGTGACGGTCAGATATGGCTTGAGAAGGGCTGATGCTCATGCACAGTCTATACTCGTAATTCAGCAAACGGAGACATCACTACAAAAGATTCACTGTGTTTGTGTGATCCATAGTCTTCCCATCCCGGGTAATATGATCTGGAATGATCAGGACCGCTGAATGATGTTCAAGAACACCCAACGTCGCAAGCCCGATGTCGAATGCCAATGGGAATTATTTCTTCTAACCCGCAACGTAGCCGGCAGGTCGAATTATTATAGAAGAGTCCAAATATGTTATTAGTTTTGATGCGGTTTTGATAGGGTCGGGAAAGAACTGTATTTTTGAACCAAGGACGAAGCAGGAGAAGTGTTGGGAGAAGTGAAGCGTCCGTGATCAATTATATGCACACAAAGGGTTCTGGGAATACATGGTAAAGGTTCCAAATGTAGCTCATTATATAACACAAAACATTCAACAGACGAGAGCCAAGCAAAATTTTTTTCTCATCGGAAGTAGATTCGTCAATCAAAACAAAAACCTCATTCCTGCCAATGAATGTATATGAGTTTCTTCCGGGAAAGCTCAAATTTGCTTTTGACATAATCCAAATCTATTACTCCTCATCCTCCTCCTTTTCGGCGATAAGGCTCTCTTTTGGACCATTTCACACTTGATCGGGTATCGTTAGTTGAATTGCATTTAATTTGATCCGGAGTGAGCGGGGGAAAACAAGACCCTGCGAACAACATCCATATCTATTCATGATATGAACACCTGGATTTATGGGCCACACTGTCTGTCTGCCTGTCATGAAGAAAAGACAAATGATCGCTGGAATAAAACCACATGATATTATCCAGATACTACCAGTCCCCAGTTTCTTGGATGTTCTATTGGAGCTTTTTCCGTGGCCAGCATGATACCTGTCACCAACGCCCACATAATGGATGACCAGGTTAAATATATTAACCATTCCTCGGAATTCCAACCAAGAAGGTTGTCAGCAATACAAAGACATAGGTAGGCCCAAATAAGACCATCAGTCAGGTCCTCAACTGTGGCCGGAGCCTGTAAGGTTAGTTTCCTGGATTTTTAGCTTTTTGAGTCGTTTTTCAAGCTCGAGCAAGTCTTGGTCCCTCGTAATAGTGTGCTGGCGCTCCGCAGGCAGAGTCCTCGGGTAGCCAATTGCACGGTACTTGCCAACACCTCTCAAATATTCAATGTGATCCAGGCGCATAGTCTCGCCCAGGAATGCATCAATGCTACTAAGTGCTGAGGTGCTGTCTATATAGCTTCTTCCAAACACATTAGGATCCTTCTGTGTGAGGATTTGGCTTCTCTCGGAGTCGGCCGCAACTTCTGTAGGCGAGCATCAGATCATTCTACTCTAAAGCAAGTAGTAAATGGATAAAACTTACTGTCTAGCCTGTTGGCGAGCCCCCGCCTCAAAGTGTGAATTGTAATGATTTCGGGATATCCAGCATTGATAACAGTTGCCCGGAACAAGCGACAGAAACATTCTCGTCTCCATGCACTGTTCGACAGTCCGCCAAATCTAGTGACTCCACGTAACACGGGTTCCTTGGCTACAAATAGTTTCTAGAGAAGTGGTGTAGGCTCATGGTTATCCGGATTCCAATTTTTCAATGTCTCCAGTGAGTCGAAGTGCAAAAACGCCCCATCTTGGATCGTCATTTCCAAAAGGAAAGGTACGGGGTTAAATCGCAATTTGCAATGATCTTTCATCGCGACACGGAAACTGAAATAATAGCATTAGCCGTAGAAGAATTTTTAGAATGTGGGCGACATACACTGTATTCTTAGGATTATCATTGTTCTTGACCCATATCTCACTAAGACGGAAGAAGAGTTCGATCTCGCCATCCATCCTACGATAAATATAAAGTTCAATGTCCTGTAGTATAGCACAGGCGAAGCCAAGTTTAGCGGGTCGCAGGAAGTACTTCATATCGAAGACCACGCTCGTCTTTCTTCGACGTATCAGGTATGAATGTGCCAATCCGAGCTCCGGAGTAGCAGTAAATTAGGATCGCAAATGTCAACTGAACCCTGTATCTAGGGTGAATGAAAACATGATCATCATCAGTCCACAGAGAGACAAGAATATTCGTAAGGCCACAATGTGTGAACATATGTTTCGCCCTTCTTCTATCCTCGATGATGTCATCTTTGACAAGCGATTTCGAGACGAACTGTTACTATAAGTATGCGTAGAGAGTTTTTCGAGGGAGAATACACGAACCTTATAAACATTCTGAGTAACCTTTTTATCAAAAGTAGATTTGGTAAGGCGGGTGAACCCAGCAAAGAACCGCTCAGCGAAATTCAGTACGGATGACTTTGTAGAACGCAGAGAGATTATTCCGTGCAAAGAAGAAATGTAGTATCGTATAAAGTCCTTAATCGTGGCCAGGTCCGGTACGGTCTGTCCTTCACGAAGGCCCTCTTTTCGGATATTTTCATCCTCTTCGGATACCCACCTGTTTATTCAAGAGACAAAGACTCAGTGGGGTGAATGAGTGTACAATAGCTAAGGGTTGCACCTACACGATATATACCGACAGAACCCGTTCCTGAAGAGCCTTGGATTCGTCTGAATAGAAGGTTTCGCAGTATTTTTGGTCTTTTTTTCGGTTCGCTCCTCGAACGTAGCCGTTGGCATGGGCTAGGGCGAGTCTATCAACTGGTTGCCTTCCTCTTCCTTTGGACATTGTTATGACAGGGATATCAAAGTGTAAAGCAAGCCAATTTCTTTCAGCAGAATTTGAAAAAACGAGTGGACGGCAAATTCTACGGTGGTGCGAGGTGGCAGGGTGCAAGAGTGAAAGAGACCTCTGGGATAAGAAGAACTTTTCGCACCGTGTGCCGGTAGCACCGGGGGTCCCGGAATTCTGTTTTCTCCCCTAGCCGACGCATCGTTGTTGCCTAAACGAAGCAGCTAGAAATCTGGTGTGGACACGAAGGGAGGATAAAGGTCAAAGGTGAGTGTTGGTGTTGAAGAGGTGGGCGAATCACCACGGATGGGTGAGTAGATGTGGCCGCGGTAGATGACTAATCCGCTTATATCATCGCCTTGCTTGACCAGATCGATTATGCAACCGCATTGATTTATGACGATAAATCGTGCAATTCCGCTCATTTATGACGACCATGAAGCCCCTGAAATTGCATAAATATCGGCTTCTTTATCGTGTAGTTAGAAAGAATCAAGACCTTCATTCATTTGAATATGATCATATAACTCAGTTGAATAATCACTTCTTCGGTAGACCCACATTTCTGCCACAGTAGATCACCTCGAACGGGTGAGCGAATCACCTTTCGGGGTGAGCAAATCACCTGACTCACCCGGCTCACCCTCTTAAAGCGGCAACGACCGAAAGAGGCAAGACAAGGCCCTCGTAGTTTTTTGTCAACCGTATGTGACCGCTAGTCACATAGGAAACCTTCCTATTCCGGATATCGGTATTGGTAACACCGATCCCCGAGGATTATGCAGATTTTTCTGTTATTTCTATGGTTCAAAAGTTATATCTCTTCTAGTTGCCTTTTTCAGGCTAGATTGCTTATTAATTTTTCATGTATTTAAATTACCGTGTGCAGCTAGATTGAAAGAATCAGACCTTCATCATTCGATATTCCTACGGGTACATTACTAGCAATTACGCCTAGAGAGACGGCCAACATTTTTTGAACGATATTATTACCTAGCCATGGGAAGAAATCCTTGTAAGTTTATTTCTTGCGTGGTTAAGATACCTCGATTTCGTTTTGAACGTACCAACGTACTTCACCAGCCTAGATCCCTGTCAATCAGTTGCATCATGGCCATCTCGGCGGGCCATACTTGAACAAATTCCTGGGTGATAGCCCTCGTTATCTTCAACCCCTTCTTGCCATTGATAAACCAGCAGTGGCAGGTTATCGGGGCCCTTAGGAGAATGCATAGAATGATAATGAGACGAGGTTGGTTTTGTTCGATGCGAATATGAGGGTCGGGGACGCGCGAAGAGAGATTTCCACAAGAAACTTGAACAGGAAAAAAAAAAGTATAGCCTTTTAGGAGCTACAGAGCTTGAGAGAGACATTTGTTCAAATTATCTGTCATTTTGCAGTCGTCCTAGTCGCTTTCAAGATATTGTTCAGACAATTGTGAGTGGATGGATCTCTCAAGGGGCAACGTTGGAAAATTGTGGCGGCATGAAGTGAGATGTAATGTAATAAAATGTAACCAGTACGGTTCTGGTCGGTCTGAGAGGTTGGCGTCATCCTTGGCATGAAGTGTCCGTCTAAGAGCGCCAGTGCTAATGATACGCTAAATTATGATTCTCGCAAATGCAGAGCGCTCGCCGGACGATCTGGTGGTGACCTATTTTGATAATGGTTATCAAAATCGCCTCGGTTAGAACGAATAAAAGTCAATTAGGCCTATAGCAACGACTGCAGTTATGAGAGCTGTCTGGAACTGTGCCAAGCTGGAGCAGATAGTCCGGTCAGTGCGGGAGAGGAAGTTTTGCGAGTATGAATTGGATAGATTTCTAGAACAGGGCAAGAGCGAAGCGTAGACGGATCTCTACCCATAGCACGTCTGAGCCAGTGAGCGTGTTTGATCGAAGTTAACTCCTTTTCATTTTCTTTTGATGTACCCAGTGTCTTCCCAATTGCTCTACGGCTGAGATCCTTCAATTGACCCCCGGTATATTGCTTGGGTACGGAGATGAATTCGCCATATATTCTGGATTTGCAGTCAGCAACCAACCCATGGAGACTCAACCACGTCCCAATTCCGGTTTTCGTCTCTGCGAACTTGACAGCAGTACAATCTCTACATATTCTGTAAGGATGGCGAGTCTATGCTTATCAAGATTCAATTAAATCACCTTACTGGGTACCACTCCTTATTATAAACGTGGAAAGGGAATCGCTTTCAGACGGGGTCGTCACCGAGGTGGACATGGATAAGTTTGCCATTCGTGCCAGAATTGTCGGTTTGGTGTCATTAGCGAAAACGGCTAAGTAGGTGGAGCGAGTGATTGGGTCTGAACGTCAACACAATTCCAATGTAGATCTTCAGATATATTGACGTGAATTCCCTACTTGATGAACAGGTTAATGTCTTTGAAGTGTTGCCTACAATTGGGGGCTCATCCCCGGAGCAGAAAGTAACTTTATTGGTTTATAAAGCACTAACTACAGAGTTATTACATCAGCTAGCATCATTGGTCTAGTGGTAGAATTCGTCGTTGCCATCGACGAGGCCCGTGTTCGATTCACGGATGATGCATTCTTTTTTACCCATGATCTTTTTTATATATTACCTCTTTTTGTCCATTGGGATTAGAAAGTTTTCAGATTATTTCTACTGTGTTCGTCTAAATTCACGGCCGTCGTGCCGCCTTAAAATAGCAGAGGTATATACCGCCTGCTCAAATACAAGCGACGAGACCTGCCACCAGACCAACGCAACCAGGTACGTAGTTTCATTCATTCAGTGACCATCCCATGCCAATATGTATCCGTCCGCCCGTCCATCCATCCATCTGCATCCACTTCGCACCTAGTTCAACTTGCTGTTCACAAACTGCAACGCGGCCTGGCCATACACATTGCCATAGCTCTGGTGAACGTTTCCGTTGTTGCCATTCGAGCAGTACGGGTCTGCCTGGTCACAGTACGACTGGATCAGGTTCGCGTATTGGCTGCACACCTGGCCACTGGGGCGGGGATCGAACTGTGGGCGTGTTAGCATTTGCATCTCATACCAGTTCTATTTGCACCAGGGAATGAATAGAATGCCAAGTGACAACGACACTCCGAGGTAGCGCTCTCGCGTCTCCCAGAAATTGATCTAGTTCAACTTACCCCTGGTGAGTTCGAGGTTCCCTTGTTATATGACGCCCCCGGGGTGTGGCGCGGATCACCCATCCAGATCATGGCCTTGACGTGGGATCCGACGGAGCTGGAGATCGGGGCCGCGGTGTCGGTGATTCCCATGTTCGGGTCGCCGCCGCCACACATGGCGTCGTCGATAATTTGGGCGCCCTGAGAGAAGGTTGGGTTGGTATTTGTTATTTCAGACTTCTCGTGCTTCTGTCCGTGTCGTATAGCGGACGGATAGTGCAGATAACCAACGCATAGGAGACTCGACTTACCTGCGAATACCCAACCAAGACAACCTTGGTGTTCGGGCACCGGTTCACAAAGCTAGTCACCTGGTTGGTGACGGCCTTGACGCCTTGCTGAACGGAGTAGTTGTACTGGCTATCCCCGATAGCCGGATAATCGATCGCCTCGGAGGTAGCGCCCGAGTGCGCGTTCAGGATCAATTTGACGACTGTTCCTGCGGTGCCGAAGCCCGGAGAGGCAGTGGTCTCACGGGCCCCGAAGACGTGGATGCTGGGGCAGTTGTTCTGGCGAGTGTGCAGGTCCTCCGGGGCGGCGAGAGCGGTGCCAACCAGCAAGGCCGTGGAGAGCTTAGGGAGCATGGTGAAAGGAAGACTGTCTGGGGTTGGACTTGTGATGGGTATGAGATGGAGGATTGCTGGGCTGGAAATTCCCAGATCGAGGAGACTCTGTCGCCATTTTATATGATTGGGACTGATGCTCGGCGCAACGGGTGTTTCATGTCTAGACATATGGGGATGGCTGATCCTTTGGTCTGGACCCATGGGCTCTGGTTACCGGCTCTTTTCCAGTGCAATTGCATCCCCCGGGTCTTCGTCCTTTCCCAGAATATTACTAAATTAAGCCGAGAGCTTTCATTATACCCGACTGTGTGCGCTCACATGAGGCCATGGATGTAACGCTCTGTCCTCGACCGTAGCATATTGTCCTCGGACACCAACTGCCATTCTCAACTTCCCTTGGTCCGACACAGATAAATCGTAACTTCAACCCGCTGCCAGACCCACTTTAGCCTGAGTGACAACTGACAACTGACAATGACAAGCTTGTTCAAGCTTCAAACGTTCTCGAAACAAGACCCCCTTCCAAGGCCTTCGGGGCAATTTAGGCTATACGAGAGTGGGTCGGGGTTGTCAGTGTTCAGGTAAGACACTGCCGATCTTAACCCTTAAGCTCTCCACATATGGCGGGTTGGTCTGGTTCGATGGACTTAAATATCGGCTAAACAGTTGAGAATCTATAATTGAGTTATACTTGACAGAACTTAATTGGGTGGGTTAAATGCTAGTAGATGCTAAGTACATGGATATTCTCCGTACTTCAATTCGATTCCCCGCGTTGCATGTGTGGGGAAGAGTAGTTGGCTACTCTAGTTCTGCAGGTGGAAGGGGGTAATCTGCAAAGCCAAGGTGGCTTAGTGTGTGGAAATAGCCAAAATAAGATTGGTGAAGAAAACGATGTCACATTCGGAAGACAGATTGATGCCTTGTTCACTGTGCTGGTTTCGGATGATGTCAAGTATCCTAGCCTATGTACAACCTGGGAGAAATGTCGCCAACGGATCAAGCAGCTTTCAAATACCGAGCATATTGGAATATAATTCACTCATACAATTCATAGTCATAGGTTCGTAGTATATATTGCGTTTGCGAATAGCTTTTTACCATGGTAGGCGCAACGGGGTCGACAAGTTCTTCCCCAATACTGCCTCGGCGGTTCCAATGTCCCTGTAACTCGTCAGTCCCATGATTAATTTGGGGAAAAAGATGGATCATACCCCGGACCCCTAGGTGCCCAATATTCGCCCGTCTTGCTGATATCGAAGTCCTCCACGAAAGAAGCCAAAGACTGAGCCGCCTCATCGGGGGTAACAGCTAAAACCAAACAAACAAATCAGTCCACACTACTCCGTAAAAGACGCCGCAGAATCATAGTAAGTCGGGACTCACCACCCCCAGCATCCCAATACTTATCGAACCCCACGCTCTTGGTCATCTCAGTGCGCATGAAACCCGGATGTACCAAGCCGACCGCAATGCCCTGATCCTTGAGATCCAGACTCAGCAGTTTCCCCACCATATTCAACGCCGTCTTGCTGGCATGATGGCCATAGTTTCCTCCTCCCTCAGACTCATGCCGCAGTGTGATACTGCCGCTCTCACTGCTCACTAGGATCACCTTGCTGCCTTTTTCCAAGAACCCCGCCTTCACGAGCTGCTGGACGACGAAGACCGGGCCGATCGCCGACGTGGTGTACATCTTCACCTGCTTGTCCCAGTCTGGGGTGTCGAATGTTTCGAAACCGAAGTATCCTGCTGTGATGATCGCGGTGTGGATCTTGGTGGACTGGGGGAGTTGAGAGGTGAGTTTCTGGCCGGCATCGGGTTGGGCGATGTCGATGTTGGGGATCCAGGTGGTGCGGGCGTCGGTGTTGGATTCAGAGGAGGGAGAACGAGTAGTGGCGAAGACGGTCTTGGTGGTTTCTTTGGCGGCGTAGAGGGTTCGAAGTGAGGCGCCGAGGCCGCGGGTTGCGCCGACAATGAGGATGTTGTTGCTCATGTTGCGGTCGATGTGGATGGGTTCTGGGAGTCAGTAGATATGGTCAGAAGTATTGGGGAAATGTCCAATGGAGGGATGGCTCAGCTATTTATGCGATAGTAGATGCAGCTACAAATGCGGAGCGATGATGTATTTATGGCTTGACGCAACCCCGTCAACAAATGACGTAACCCCCGCATCTGGACTGTTGATAATCAACCAGATTAGGAAACGATAGTTACAATTCTTTCTTTGTAATTTCTTCCAAGAAGAATTTCCTTGCCCTCTAGATAGCTATACCTGGGTATCTTAGTATATGAGATGAAATTCAACAGTGAGCAAGCAATACTCTCACTGCTTGTAGAGAAATGATCGTCGGCTCTCCATACTGCCATGATCTACTAGTTTCGTCTCTATTTAGTGTGGGTCTACAACTTGGCCCGCATGCGGTTTGGCAACCCCCGGGCCTTCCCAAACTCTTGGGAGGGAGAGTTCTGAGTCCTGTTCTCCTTGAGATCGTGCATTTGACCTTTTCTCCAATTTCCCCCCCTTCTTCTTCTTCTTCTTCTTCTTCTTCTTCTTCTTCTTCTTCTTCTTCTTCTTCCGTTGTTTTTCTTTTGCTTCTTCCTTTCTCATACAACATTAGAGTCTCTGCTCGTCCTTCTGGACCATGAAACTCGGCGCATTCCCGGACATGGGAGAGCCCCGAGTCCAATACTCTTCGGGATCATCGGTGCTCTAAAGGCGTGTCTGTTTTTCTTTCCCTCCCCCGGACGATGATGAGTTCGCCTCACCGTGAACAATAGTGATTGCATCGCCAAGTCGAAGGACTTGGAGCGATCATAGCTATCGTGAGGCATGCTGAGTCCAGCCTTTGTTTAGATACATTGCTTTCTCTGAAACATTGGGGTGCGATATGGTTGATTCTTCAGTTACTCATGTTGTCAGTTTCTTCCTCTCTGGACAAACGGAAATTCCCTGGCATATTCCTCCTGAATTCTATTGTAGAATTTGAGAAGCTGTACTTTAAAGACTTCTTGCGTTCATGTGAAACCCTTACAAGCTACTATTCCTCTTAACGTCTAGTATAGCGTTCAAGTGAGCCCATATCATGTCCATTTGCATGCGAAAGGTCAAGTCCGCGAATATATCAGGTGGCTGGCTCGAATAGTTGCTGTGGATGCCGAAGGACCGTGGGTCAAAGGCAGGTTCCGTAGCAAAGATTAAGCCGGTTACAGTTCCCATTCGTAACCTGCAGGCCAAGCAGACAGTTTAGCTTTTGGCACAGGCACCATCTCACAAATGGATAGTACTCCGGAGATAGTGTGAATCTCTGGGACCAAAGACACCACCGGATTAGCCGTGTGTTGGATGTCTAGCCGCCGACTGATAGGACGTGTCGAGGTAGCCGCCGAACCCTGCTCCATACTAAATTGCCACAGTAGAATCCTTCCACTAAAGTCTCGGCGTACACAGAGTAACTACACCGCACTCAGTGGAATAGTGTAAATGATTAACTAAGGTAGACACTGCCCTGCTGCCATTAATAGAAGCCAACTTCCGCGTTAAAAAAGCGGGCCAAAAACCGGGTGCTGCTTAGTCAGGCCCCTCCTCGAGTGCCGGAAGGCGGAGAAACCAAAGCAACGTAACTGGGATATGCCAGAGCCCAGATTCAACCGTCCCCCAATCGCTCATGCGCACTGCACAGCCCTATATATTTTCTTGTCCCGCTGGCCCCCGCGCTGGAGCTGGTCTCTCCATGCCTCTCGAAACCTGATAATGAGTTCCTTCTCTCAGTTGATCTCCAATGTGAAAAAAGCCCGCGCTGCCTTCAACAGAGGGAGAAGCAGATCGGACGCCAAACGGAACAATCAGTCCCAGTCCAGATATAGTGTATTGCCCTCGACGCTCTCGTCAACCTCTGTGTATGCCTTCCTTTTGGTCCCGAAATTCGACGCCGAATGTGCGCGTCCGTGTTACTCCGTCGCTAACGTGACAGCCAGTGTCGAACAAGTCAACCTAATACCCACGTCTTCGCCCTGGGATCTCCTCCCCGTCGAACTCCAGATCAAGATATTCGCTCATTGCGGGGTCGCCGATTTCCTGCCCTTGAAGCTTGTCTGCCGAGCCTTCTGCCAAATCCTTAACTCTCAGGAGCACTGGATCACCCGACAGTACCTCCGCCAACGCCGTCATGGAACCCTTCCCTCGCCGATAAACAGCGAACGAACATATTCTCGACACCCAGAAGACGATGTCGTGTTGCTCTCGGATCTGTTCCCGCCTATCACCAGCGCCAAAGGAGGTCATCTTTACACTTTCCGATACATCCATAGTCTCCGACGGCGCCAGAAACTGTGTTCGAAGTTATGCTATTTCCTTGCCGATCGAGTGATAGATCGCTTTATGCGGAGCGAGCCGGGCTTTGTGAAGTCGATGTTCCCATCGAGGAACGAGCGCAACGACTTCCAGAAACGGGCCGTTGGGGTTATCTGGTTCTACCTGACGCCGCTTATGTGGGTGCTTCCATAAACCACTGACCAACTTCCTTAAGCGATTTCGCTGACAGCTTCTTCTCCTGTGACAGGTACTATACACTGTACTTCATTGAAACCTACGCCCTAGCCAGAAGAGAGCAGACCAATGCCTTGTTGCGCGATTACGAAGCCGGACGCCTGCCGGTTAAGATTCCCCCCGACGTTCGCAAGTCTCTGTATCGGGACTTGCAGGTTCAAATCATTCGATCCCCACCCTTCACAGACACCGCCACCCTCGTCTCCACACACCACTGCATGCAACTTCTGGTGTCATACTTGCAACACACCGTGGCCCCCGATGAGCCCGGGCCATCGGACGATAGTTGGATAGGCTCGTTGCTCACCGTGTCACCATTCATGCGCGTGCTGGAATATTTCTCGGCAGAGATCGGCGACGGCGGCAGTCAGCGAATGCAGCGGAAAGAGTTCATGCACAACTTCCACAATGACATCACATCAAATGAAAAGGACGACATGAACTCGCGGGTGTTCGAGTGCGCTCCACACATTCACGTGCATGGTTCCATGCAGGACGTCTGGTTCGACGTGGCTACTCAGGAAGTGATGTCGAGAGGGGCCACGACGCACAAGCCGGAGCTCGTCCCGGTGATGGATGGGCTACCGGTTATATTCGGCTGCCAGTTTTGTCGGGACTCTGCGGGATGGCGCGCATGATTTGTTCGATTTTGCTTGGTTTTAATCAGTATATTTAGCATGCGTTGTTTCGTTGCCTATTGGATATCAGGCGTTTTCGTTGGGGACTTATGCCTCATGCAAATACCTTAGCCGAGCGCATATTTTCTGTCTATATTAGCATACATGAAATACCGACCGATTCTCCGGAGAAATAGTATATATCACATGGAAGCTTTGATCAAGAAAGCAAGACAAAAGATGATCACATCGCGGAGCCCTATACCCTACTATGTACGCTATACCCTTCTCGGAACCTTGTTTGCTCTGTTTGCCCGTCGCGTCTGATCTTCAGATGGTCGAGACTCAACCCTCGCATCGAAATACGTCTATAGCTTACACTAACTACAACGCTATCGACTTCCCTGGACCCTTGCTTCTTTAAATCCCACTATGTGACCTTGCTATCATACTCCATCGCCGCCTCGACATCTCCCTCCGTTCCATCCGAACCGACCAAAATGCCCCCATCACCGAACCAACACCTACTCAACACCTCCTGGACACTTCATCGCCTCTCGCCCCTCCATCATGGCAAGGAAAATCAATCCCTCCTCGACAACCCCGCCGCATTAAATACCTACGCGACGCGACTCCGCGACCAACTAACCGGGAATGCCGTCTCGGGTATCTCAGCCAGCGCCGCCGACGATGAATCCTTGTCTCGAACCGGCGCGTTGAAAACCTGTGTCTGGGAAATCCTACCTAGTCTTTCGCTTCTTGATAACTCGGCAGCAGCTTTTACCGCCACTGATCACTCCACCGGGGTGGGCATTTCCGTGACGCTAGAGTACGAGAATATCACATACAAAGCGGCCCTGCTTGCGCCGCTGCCTGGGGACGATGCTTCCTCATCTGATCGAAGAAAAGGCAAGGGGAGGCAAAGGGAGCCATCCATATCTACGTCCACGCACCTCCCCCTCCTTATGACGCGATTCCCGAACCCCCTCCGCCAAACCTTCCTATCCTTTCTCTCTGCCAATTTCGACACCTACGTTTCCAACCTCCGTCTCTCGTCGAATTTCATGTGCTCGGCGCTGGAAACATATCTGTATGTTTTGAACCCCGGGCTTGATGATTCAGACTCTGAGACCGAGCCCGTCCCCGATCGTCTCGCTCAGAAACAAATCCTCGAAGACCTCGTCAAGGAACTACAACTGACGGTGGCGTTTTCGCCAGCCGTCGCGCCCGCCCTGCGTTCGCTGAACGTGAATGTGCCGCGGGCGTCGTTGGGAAAGATTCTCTTGCCAGCGGATCCCGGGTCCGAGTCGTCGTCCGTCCTGAAGGGTCTGTCGAATTATATTCGCGCGCAGTTGGCGCTGGATTTGGATCTTGCCGGGGATTCGGAGGATTCGGCGATCGTGAAACAGCATGTCAGGGTTTCGAAGATCGCGTGTGCGGGGTTTAATATTGCGGGTGAGGGGAGGTTGAAGCTGGTTGGGCAGGCACTAGGGTCAGGAGGTGGGGAGGAAGGAGGAGGTGAAGATGAAGGGGGTAGTGGCGGTTTGAGTGAGAAGAGCAGGCTTGGGTTACGTGCTAATGAGGCTTTGCTTCGTGCGGTTATTCGCAGGGCTGTTGCGACGGGGGAGAATCAGGCATCATGATGCTTGTTTTCTTTTCTTTTGAACCCGAATGATGCCGACATAGAGAGGGTCTGCTCTCTTTTGTGCTAACGAACGAACTTCTACGACGATTCCTTGACTCGACGGATGACATCCATACCATATTTACTCGTCATGTTATTACAGCTATCAACAGTCCAGCTATTAACAGATTCCCTCTCTCTCCCCCCCTCTCCTTCGATCAATTCACCAGTCCACGCAACAAGCAATATATTCGCATTTCATCCTTCGAGAGCACACCCCCAAAGAATCAGCCATGTCGTGTGCATATCAACGCAAGGGTCGTCAGTCATAATCTACGTGTATCGAGATTTCTCGCATATAGTCGGGTCGCCTTCTTTTGTTTTCATACAGCTCTTGAAAAGGAACCAAACCAGTTGGCAAAGTGGTCAGCCTAGGCATTAAATACCCGATCCTCCGACTCCGCAAGTCTGAGCGCTTCGTCTACCCGCGAAACGAAGTGAGACATTCCGCCGCATCGGTCCACGATCCCGCTTCTCTCGAACATGCGGAACACGTCGCGGTTGGGCAGGCGGCAGAAGAAGACCCGCGCGCCCTGCTCGGCATACTCGTCGACGATCTCGAAGAGGACCTGCGTCCCGGAGCCGTCGATGCTCGTGACGCCGTGCACGTCGAAGATGAAGTTCTTGTTGTGCTCGGCGGGTCGCATCCGAGGCAGAGACGGATGCGCGCGGTTCGTACCGTACAGCTCCAGCCGACGGAGACGGTTCTTGAGATCGCCCGTGTTGGCGAAAGTGAGCGGTTCGGGGATCTTGACGATCAGGGCGCTCTCGACCAGTTCCACTTTCTCTGGGTGCAGTTCGGCGTTCTCGAACCGGTCTGACGTGCCGGCTACTTTTCCGAGGATTTGGATTCGAGGTTGCGTGGAGTGGCGGATGAGGATGAGAATGGAGAGGCCGATTCCTAGGGCGATTCCCAATTCCAGAGAATAGAAGATAGTCGAGACGAAAATGAGGATCATCAGTGTTAATTCTGTCCATCCACGCAGACGTATAAAGAAGGCGAGGTCATGCGGACACTCTTCGATGAGACTGAAGGCGACAACGGAGATCATAGCAGACAGAACGGCTTTCTAGAAGATATTAGCGAATCAACTTTACCAAATGGGAGAGGAGGGTTCATACCGGGAGATAATATAGATACGGCAGAAGCACCATGATAGAGATAAACGTGATGACGCTCAGCAGGATACTGCTCATGGGCGACCGCGCCCCAGTAGACGCATTGACTTTGCTTCGGCCGTAGCCTCCAAAAGCCGGCAACGCCATAAAGCAACCGCCGACGACGTTCGCGACGCCCAGGGCCACCATCTCTCGGTTCGCGCTGACAGCCATGCCCTTGACACCGGCCTGTCGAGCAGTGCCGAGACCCTTGGCGGCCACGGAGGACTCGAAGAAGCCGAGGAGCGCAATGATGAAGGACGTACTCAGTGCAGTCCGGACGTGCTTCATGTGGCTAAACTGGAACGGCCATTTGAAGGCGAAGACGCCATTGGCGTTGTTCTTGGTCGGGCCGAGGATCTCCAGACCCTGCTTGTCCCAGCCAAGGTGCCATGTTAAGATGGCGGAGATGATAACCACCAGGATACGGTCCGGGAAGTAGACGACGAGTGGGTATCGTGGCTGGAGCAGCTTCTTGAGGGTGCTAAGAATGGGAATTAGCTGGGAAGTCGTAGGGGAGACGCGGTGCGGGAACATACCGGAACACCATAATGATGCTGAAGCTGCCGAAAGACACTGCGGCCGTAAGGCCATGGCATTTGCCTATATTCCTGACAAAGAAGACTAGCTTCTCAACCGTGGTTCCGTGGCTCACGGTAGCATCCTTCGCCAGCTCGGTGAGTCCAGCCTCGGGGATGAGCTGGTCCACGAAGATAACACAACCAATGGCGGTAATGAACCCTCTCAGGAAAGGCCGACTCAGCACATTGTCTAGGAATCCTAGCCGAGTAAGACCGGCGATCAAGATCATGGCGCCTGCCATAGCCGTGGCTATTCCGACGATCAAGGCACTTGCGGCCTCGTCCTCTTCTTTCGAGAGACCTGCACTCACACTTGCTTTAACAATTGTGCCGGTTAGAAGAGAGCCGGCCGCTTCGGGGCCGACGACGAGTAGAGGGCTGCTCCCCAGTATCGCGTAAATCAACGGGTTGAACACGAAAGAGTAGAGGCCGTTGATGGGAGGAGCATGCGCTAGATTGGACGACAAGGAGAGCGCCATTGGGATGTAAATCGACGCGACAGTCATTGCCGAAATCAAGTCCCCTCGAAGGAAGGACAGCCGATATTGAGTGATCCAATTGAAGAATGGAATATAGTATGACATATATCTGGATACGATTAGCGATGATTCTCGCAAATGAAAGTCGCAAGAACACCCGGGGAATTAAACATACAAAGTTCTGCGATTCTTCATCGTGAACGCCGAAACAGAGGAGTCCATTGACGGGATATTCTCCGGCCCTTGAATGGAATCGCCGTCGAGAGGGGCCTCCCCAGCCGTGATACCATGGCCGACGTTGTTCAAGGATGCTACACCCCAAGCTTGGTTTTCCTCGCGTTCCAGCCTAGGGGAGAAAGTACCGTGATCGCAAGAGCCCCTCAGCCCGCAAGCGGGCTCATGATGATCATATGACTCCAATAGGCGAGAGGTTTCTCCCGGCGTGTAGGGCGATGCAAAATCTCCGCCAGTGTGACCGGGAACGCTGGTCGCGGAGGTGGTACGAAAGATGTTGAAGATCCGCTCGTGCAAAGAGCGGCTCTGCTCTTGAGATAAGTCGGGCTCCGACATTTTGATTCAAGAGCAAGTCTAATCAAGTAAATATAGATTCGAGGCGCGGTGCAGCACGCGCCATAAATGCAGCTTGAAAAGCAAGAAGAAAAATCGCCGAGTTGAAAATAAATAAGTAAAACAGAGGGATTCTCTGACTAAAAAAGATAGGCGAGTCAAGGTAGCGCAACAGGCGGTATGCCTAGTAACTATTGCTAATTAGCGCTAATATGATGGAGATAGCGCAGGGAGCAGCGAATATGTCATGGCCACATGGACGATCAGTTGCCACCTCATTCCTGACAATGCCAGGCCCAAGATCCAGAGGAAGCTGATGAGGACGCAAAAGACACCCGACCAGCCTCCGTCTGTCAGATTCCAGGAATCAAGGTGAGGTCGAGAGGGAAAAGCCGGCTTTGGGCCCGGCGATAACGCGCCGCAGCCTTTATCGGGTTCTGCCGGGCGGTGGAACGTGTGCACGTGATGAGTCACGCTGCAAAGCCCAAAGTGGGTTTTGAGCCGCCACAAAGCGATTTGAATTGTGCTTCGATCCCATCTCCGCCGACCCGTTTCGCTTGCCCCTCGACCTTCTCTGTTCCTCTCGGTTCCCTTCCCGAAGGTTCGCTATTCTGAGAGAGTTCTGTCTCGGAATCCCTCTGTCCCTAAAAAACTCTTTTCGCCGATTCGAATCTGTGCCTGGCACACGCCGCAACCCCGCCGAAAATGTCGTTAACAAACTGCCGCTTCTACGAGGAGAAGTACCCGGAGGTCGACAGCTATGTCATGGTCAATGTCAAGCAGGTGGGTGTCTCCCGCATTGGATCTTCTCTTCTCTGTTATCGCGAACCTGTTCTAATCACCGCATTCTTTCCCTCACGCAGATCGCCGAAATGGGCGCGTACGTGAAGCTTCTCGAATACGACAACATCGACGGAATGATTCTGCTCTCCGAATTGTCGCGAAGACGTATTCGTAGTATCCAGAAGCTGATCCGTATTGGACGTAACGAGGTTGTCATCGTTCTCCGTGTCGACAAGGAGAAGGGTAAGGACCCGATAACACAGAGGATGACGACGCCGAGGTGCTGACCGGTTGTGTCTTCCACCCGCAGGTTATATCGATCTTTCCAAGCGCCGAGTCTCCCCCGAAGATGTCATCAAGTGCGAGGAGCGCTATAACAAGAGCAAGGCGGTGAACTCCATCATGCGACATGTGGCCGAGGCTACCCAGACTCCCCTGGAGACGCTATATTCGACCATCGGATGGCCCTTGAACCGCAAATACGGCCATTCGCACGATGCTTTCAAGATCTCCATCACGTAAGCTGCATGCGGTAGTCTAGTTTGAAATCCTCGCGGCTAACGTCTTCGGCTCTTTAGGAACCCCGACGTGTGGAACGAGGTCGAATTCCCCAACGAGAACGTGAAGAAGGAGTTGACGCACTATATTAGCAAGCGACTTACTCCTCACCCCACCAAGGTCCGTGCCGATATCGAGGTTACCTGCTTCGGCTACGACGGAATCGACGCCGTCAAGACCGCTCTGCGCACCGCCGAGGAGAGCAACACCCCCGAGACCCAGATCAAGGTTAAGCTGGTCGCTCCCCCGCTGTACGTCCTAACCAGCCAGTGTCTGGACAAGACCATCGGTATCCAGATGCTCGAGGAGGCTATCCAACGGATCGAGGCCAAGATCAAGGCAGCCGGCGGTGGCTGCATCATCAAGATGGCGCCTAAGGCCGTTACCGAGCACGATGATGCCGCCCTGCAGGAGCTCATGGAGAAGCGTGAGCGTGAGAACCAGGAGGTTAGCGGTGATGAGAGCATGTCCGAGAGCGACGACGGTGTCCCCGAGTAAATCTGCCCCGAAGGTACCCCTAATGGTGCAAGAGGATGAATCGGACAAACTATGTCGACTGGTTTTGAGCAAGACTGCGGTTGAAAAAAGGAGATAACGGGCTTTGGAGGTTGCTTGGCGGAGCTTGGGCAGATGCGGTTTAAAAAAAAGTTGCATAGAAGAGTTTTCGAATGTGACATGATTTATGAGTCGGGAGAACGGTTTAATGTGCACACGGGCGACGTCGTGATCAAGCAGCAATGTCGACGACACTTGGGGGCAAGCCCTCTGTTCGATGAGAATGGTGTAACCCCAGATTCGAGTGCCACCGTGCATCTCTCAGTCTGGGGGTTTGGGGCCTCGTGTTTGGATCTCTGTTCATGAGCGTCTGGATGAAGATGTTCGATCCCACCTTCTCATGTACATAAGCTTCATTGATGTACGGGTCCATGCCTGTGGTTCCTGTTTAGACTACTACTATCCACATATCTTCTTTTTTTTTTTTTTTTTTTGCTTTCAATTTTTATCTGCCTTATCTAGATGTTCAGCAGGAGATCGCCGTTTCTTTGTCGACTGGAAGGGAAGTGGGGCACACGGCCGGGGTACTTCTTGGCTGACTCGTCCTTAATCATCGTACCATCCATGTTCCCATCCCCCAGACTCTCTCTCTCTCTCTCTCTCTCTACTCTGTGTCATCGATTAATTCTCCTTTAAACCCTCTTCGCTTTTCCGATCATCGGGAAAGCCTTCAGGATGGGTCATTGGAGGAGTCTCTTCCAGTCCGAAGGGGGCCACGCCCACAATCGTCTCCCTACGGAGCGGCGCCGACGTAAGTCATTCGCATTGTATGTTTTGCAAGCTGACCCCGGCTACAGTGATGTCTGCATATGCCCCGGACCAGCTTCCGCCTACTCATCACGCCAAGGAAGTGACCAAGGTTGCCCTGCGACTAAAATACCAAATTGAACAGGTCATCCCTTGTGAACTGGAAGAGAGCGTGATCACCAACCCCAATAGTCGCATCATCACCGCCGACGTAATCCAAACCGCAAGACAGGCGGGAGGCGAGGAGCTTCAGGCTTGTGTCCTTTTCTGTTTGCTCGTCTGTTTACGATGGTTCAAGATTGAAGCCACCGAGGAGCTCTGGGACTCGGATCTCCATGAACGCCGTGCTCTGGCGTGTGAGATCATCGCCAAGCGCATGTAATGTTGTTGCTTTTCTCTTGACATTGCTGCAGTGAACTAATAGGGGATTTTAGCATTGAAACCGAAGCCGACCAGGATATTCGACTCATGGATACCTTGCTGAAGCGATACTCTATCTTTATCGATGGCGAGGAGACCATGCCAGCCAATGTTATTGAGCGCGCGGTTGATCTTCACGCGTTGCGAGTGATCGGCTCCTCCGGGTACCAGAAGTGCATTCGGTATCTATGGAACGGCTGGTTCTGTCAACAGGAAGGTAATCCTACCAACTTTGTGCCTTATCATAAACGAGATAATATCAACTTCTCGGTCCACTTCCATCCCGACCGGATGCGGACTCCTCAGTACCAGAATGTCTGCCAGATTCTCTTCTCCGCGGTATACCTCATTCTGTATACTCAGGTGATCAACACGGTCAATCCCAGTGGGGACCTAGACGTTGTCGAGGGAATACTCTATGTCATGAGTCTTGCGTTTATCTGTGACGAGATGACCAAACTGTATAAGATTGGTTGGCTCTACTTTGACTTTTGGAACGCGTTCAATTCGACCCTATACAGCATTCTCGCAGTCTCGTTTTTCCTGCGTGTCGCAGCCTTGACACACTCGTCCTCAGTCGATGACGAACAGCGACAGCAACTCAACGAGCTGAGTTACAATTTCCTCGCTCTCGCGGGTCCGATGTTCTGGATGCGCATGATCCTATACCTAGACTCCTTCAAATTTTTCGGCGCCATGTTCGTGGTGCTCAGAGTCATGATGAAGGAGAGTCTGATCTTCTTCGCTCTTCTGTTCGTTGTCCTGGTGGGATTCTTCCAGGCCTTCATGGGGATGGCCCAGGTCGACAACGATCTACCGGTCACGAGAGCCATTATCCAGGGCATGGCGAACAGCGTGATGCAGAGCCCGGAATTCGGCATCTTCGAAGATTTTGCTTTTCCATTCGGCATTATCCTCTACTATCTGTTTAATTTCATTGTTATGACCGGTACTGACCCATCTCACGTTTTGCTTTGTCCGAATTACATAACTAATGCCGCCCAGTTCTACTGAACATCCTGATTGCCCTATACAACAGCGCATACGAAGATATTTCCGGAAACGCAATCGACGAATACATGGCCATCTTTGCACAGAAGACAATGCAATACGTTCGCGCTCCAGACGAGAACGTCTTCATACCGCGTACATATCCCTCCCCTCCTCAGACTCATACCAACTCTACTCCCCAGACAATACATACTAATCACACGCTTGATCTAGCCTTCAACCTCCTCGAAATCATCTTCCTCGTCCTCCCCTTCGAATGGTGGCTTCCGCGCCGCCGCTACGCCAAACTCAACGACATCGTCATGGGGGTCCTCTATTCGCCTCTCCTCGTGGTAACTGCCTTCTTGGAAGTCCGCGAGGCGCGCCGTATTCGCTGGAATCGACGGCGCGGGGAAGACGATGACGACGATGTGCAGGAGTGGGAGCACGCGGCTGAGCAGGTGGATTTCGAACTCGACGAGGACTGGCGCAAGGTCGTGCATGATACGGCGCCGGTGGTACACATGGATCCGTGCAGTTTGGAGATCATGCATTTGAGAGAGCAGGTGAAGGAATTGGCGGAGTTGGTGAGGGGGTTGACGGAGGAGAAAAATGGGAGGGGAAGTATTGGGATGTTGAATGGGGAGTTTTCTTCGACGATTGCGGAGAGGGAGGAGGGAGGAGGTGGTAGTAGGTAGGAGGAAGCCTTTGCTTTGCTTTTTTCTGCGCCGGTGGTGTCTTGCTCTCTCACTCTCTCTGGCTGGTGTGGCTATCTACCTTGGTAAGTGACTTCTATTACTTACAGGTAGGAAGTTGGCCATTGTCTATCTTGTCTGTCTATCATGTATTCTGGCGGATATTTCGTTGTCTTGTCTTGTATATCTGCTGCACAACCATTTTATACGATTTGGATGATTATCCGCTTTTCTTTCTGTGTTTATTAATAGTAGTAAATTCCAACAAGCCAATTCAATCGTAACCTTCGTATATCGTCCTTCGCACAATGTGAGACAGAATTTGATGATGAATAATAATGCTCGATCAATGATATTCAGAATAGTACATTCCAGAAAAATGGACTGCTACATTAACCTAATTAATTATTTTATCATTTAATTGGTTACTACTCGCAAAGGCAACGAAGGGAATCCAACTAAGCTAGACAGGGAAAAAGAAAAAGTAAAAAGAACAGCCCAACGCGGGGCTCGAACCCGCAGCCTTGTGATTAAGAGTCACACGCTCTACCGATTGAGCTAGCCAGGCGCTGTTGCTGAAAAGTCTTTCCACTTTGACATCATATCCCTGCACCTTCCCTAGGAAGGGCGGGGAAGAGATCTTCTTGACAAGGGCTGCCGTGGCTATCTTCCGCCGGTGGACATCATACTAGCTATATGAGAAAGGCGAATAAAAGAGGGTGTATAATATGCGATTCAATCTCAATGTTCTTAGAGATACTCGTCATTGTATGAAGGAAAGTTCATAAAGTGTCACACAAATGCTGTCCTTTGCTGCTCTGCCAAAAGGTATCAAATAGAGGGAGCTAATATTCCTAGGGACAGCACACTAATATTATTCTCCTAGAAAGGCTCGAACACTCGGACAACTCGAGAAGAAAGCCAGTTCTTTGGCTGGCTTCTTCTTTTGGTAAGGGGTCTTTTCATCTGGCTTAAGCGGGTTTTGATATCTATAGAGGAGATAAAGCCTTGATTCTGATGGAAGTGTATGAGTAATCCATATTTGGTCGTTGACCCCACGGAGATCCCACACAATGTGTGCGACGGTGGTATACTGTCCTTTCACGATAGCGCTAACTGACGGATTGGATGATTCTTCTTGGGCTTGCACTTGTATGTTCCAAGTTCCATCAGAGTTGACCTAGTAGAACAATTAGAACGTGTTAGCCTTTGCCACTAGAAAAATAATGGAAAAGCTCAGAGGTAGAATGAGAATTTAGGGAATAGAAGAAGGGAGACGTACACCTTGCATGTCTAAGCGAAAATGCTCATTCGCGGCATATGTGCCGGGGGCATTGGATAATCTTCCCCAGACATCATTCGAAAGTGTATATACAAACTGTTCAAACTCTTTCACTGCTGACAATCCCATCTCGGTTGCATTAATTGATGATGCTTCCCAAACTTTAGGCTGCGGATCAAATCTGCAAATATATATACTTTACCTTACCACTGGGAAAAATTATTCTGGGCCTTTCCTGCTGAACTACCTCTCGAAAAATGCGGGGTATCTGGCCACGTCACTTCCGGCGTATGTAAGTATAAATTGGGGGTGAAAGATTGCGATCATCGGGTGTGAGTAGTTTTTGTTTTTCTAACTCCGCATCAGGTCGGCTAGTAACAAACCACCTGACATGAGCCAGGTCCTCTTGTTAATGGAGTACCAGATGCATAGCTTTCGATCATATCATCACGCGGTCTCCAGCTTCGGGAAGAACCTGGTCAAATGGGACGAATGGGAGGGAATGATCGAGAATATCAAGGAAGCAGAGACACAATTTGAGTAGTACATCTTCATGTACACCACCGGCGCGACCCAGGAAACTTTCAGGAAGATGGCGTTAGCCATCGAAGAACAGACCGATCTTCTGAGGCATATCAGCGAGTCTACCCACAAACAAACAACGCTTCTAGAAAGACAGAAGATAATGTCGGCGGTGGAGCAAAAAGAGAAACTCAAGTTGAAGTACAAGCCAGATTCATCGCATTTCAGCCTCGAGATTAATGAGGATTACGTGAGCCAACTTGTCCACCCATACAATGGAACGGGCAAAGGAGTTCTCGAGCATCCAAAGTTCACCAACTGGGCAAATGGTGAAGGTGGCATGCTTGTTCCCGCAGCACATCCGGGAACAGGAAAATCGGTTCTTGCTAATTCCTGGTGGAGAAGATGCCAGAGCTCAGTCAAACTGCAGCCTGCTCCTTCTTCAAAGACAATAAAGGACAGAGTAGCCCTAGGGTTGCCCTTTGCAAAGTCCTCTACGCAACCATTAAAAATTGTGATATACTGACAGAAGCGGCGGATGACAAAGCCAACAGGCTGGATAGGCATGAAGTTAGTCCCGACAGCAGAGATTACTGGGAGCTGCTGGATTCCGTCACACAAAGCACACCGTCCGGGACACTATTGATTGTTATGGATGCACTTGATGAATGCGACCCGGATCAGAGGCTGGGGCTTTTACAAGGGTTGAGAAACCACCGATTGCTCTACCCAACGTCGAAGATGAGAATACTTCTCACAACTCGACCGGTTCCAAGTATCATGGATATATTTGAAGACTCTATTTTGAATATGGATGACGACCCGTCCTGCCGGGAATCCATTAACGATGATATTATAAATGTCTCCAGGCAACGTCTGCAGAATTTTGCTGCTGGAAAGGGAATATCGGAGAGCACAAAGCAGGCCTTCCTCAATCAGATAACCGCTGGCAATGACCGCACATACCTTTATGTGGAGTTGATGTTCACATATCTTGAACAGCAACCTCGGCAACGTACCGGAAGGCACTGGGACCAGAAGTTTCGAGAGTCACCAAATGACTTACAGCAAGGGGGAACTCACGGGTTTGATTGAATATTTGTGACTCTCATTCAGAGCTCGGAATAGATTCTGTACTTCGTCTAAAGTATTACCAGAGAATAGTACTAAATGCAGTTGATTAGTGAAAAAGTTATCTCATCTTTTGAGGATAAAGATTGGGAGACGGCCAAGCTCTTTGTTAAAGGTCGTTGATTACAAACTTCAGTGTAGGAAGGCACATGAGAAAGTAATATTTGATAGACCCATCAAATTTAAAGCCCGAAAGAAAATACGATCAGAGTTCTTCTCAATATTCACCTGGCTATCAATGTTATCATGAGCATTATTAGACAACTATTTTCTGGGGGATTCAAATATTTCCACTTCGACGTTCAGCCGGCAGGTCCTGGATGTTTAGAATCACCTTGGAGAACCCATTGATCTGCTATCTCTTGTGTATAAGCTTTATGAACCCAAAGCTAGATTGTTTACTTTATTCAGATTTATCATTTATGCTCTATATCTTATGAAATATTACCTGAGTGGGATAATTAGTGACGAAAGCCGGTTGGCATTAAGAAAAAGGATATCAACTATGCGAGATAAAACAAACAATGACCAAACAGAAAGAAAACCAAGATAAGTCACAGAAGAGGGAGTATCAAACAGATATAAAAGAAGAGAAAGAAAAGTCAATCAAAGAAAGTCACCATATAGGCCCCAAAGAAAGTGAAAGTGAAAGTAGTTTAAACAGAAAAAGAAAGAAAGACACAGGACGGAAAGAGAAGGGAGCCCAGGAAAGATCTACAGCTCCTCCTCAACCTCCTGAGTAATATCGACCAGCTCCCAAGTCTTGAACTCCAAATCCAACAGATCATCCTTAGCCTCGGCCTTACCGGAACCATAGTTCTTAAGGGGCCACTTCTCAACACCCTCGATGCCCTTCAACTCCTCCGGGAACTCACGGAACACGTCCGCGTTCAGACGCTCGTACTCGCTGTAGTCCTTGGGCCAGTCACCCAGACGCTCAACCGAGAGCTTGAGCAGGTGTAGGTGCTGACGGACGTGCTCGCCCTCGGGGATCGCGCTGGTGGCTGCGTCGTGGATGTCTAGTTCGTAGGCGGAGCCGTCGAGGCTCATGCTGCCGTCTAGACCTTCCATCTCGGCGTAGGCGGGGTCGCTGAAGGCGCGGAGGATGCTCTCGTGCACGGCAGCGCTCTTCTTGTAGTAGCGGTTCGCCATCTCTTGGCCGTTCTTGAGGGATTGGTAGCGCTGCGCGATACCGGTGTAGAGTTGCGAGAGGAGGGTGGACATCTCGAGTGTGCTGGGATGGCGGGCCCCGTGTACGCGACGAGTGTTGTAGACGATGTCTTCGGCTAGACGGAGTGCCGCGAGAGAGTCGCCGACGAGGTAGCGAGCCATGATGTAGCGTCGGCCAAGGGCGAGGGTGACGGATGGTTGCCAGTGGCGCTGAGCTTCGCGGCTGTTCCATAGGATGGTGAGCAGCCAGGCAAGGGTCTGGTAGTCTTGCTGCTCGCCGAGCAGGCCGATCAGGTTGTTCAGGTGCACGAGGTCGACCTGGGCCAGGTTGATTTGAAGGGCGTTGATCACTCGCAGAGAGTCCTGGATGATCACGGCGGACACGCCCAGGAGCTTCTTGCGGTTGGCGTCTTCGGGGCGGGCGATGATGCCGCGGCCCGAGATGTTCATGCCCAGGGTGAAGATGAACTTGACGATGGCAGGGGACTGGTAGACCTCGTGAGCGGAGATGTACTTGAAGGCAGCCAGGGCCAGGTCGCTGGCCTCGGTGTACTTCTGGGACTTGAGCAGCTCGATGACACCGCTGTTGCTGGCGATACCGATGGAGCGGACGAAGTCCTGGGATTGGTGGATACCGAAGTAGCTCAGGATAGTGTGAACCAGGACCCGGATCTGGGAGGTCTCGGTCAGCTTGACGCGCTTGGCTTCGGTGTTCTGGAAATATTCCAGGGTGATGTCGAAGACGCGACTGGCGACGGTGTGGCGCTCGTGGGAGACCAGGAAGCGGTAGAGACGGGCAGCGGACACCGACACGGAGTGAATGCTGCTGCTCTTCGCGGTCACCTGGGTTCGCAGCTCCTCGAAGTAAACGTACTCCGTGGTCAGAGCGGCGAGGATCTCAGTGATCGTGACGGAGGTGTTGCGACGAAGGCTGTACTCCAGCTGAGCCAGGAAGACAAGGCTCTGACGCTCCTTGGAGGAGAGATCGAACTTCACCGACTTGGCGTTGGCAGTGTCCTTCATGACGATCTGGCGGTAGATCTCCTGGGTCAACTCGGTGGCCTTCTGAATCTGGTTGGTCTCGATGTAGCTGGAAGCAATGGTGCTGGCAGCGGCGATCAGACGGGTGGAGGAAGTCTCCGACGAAAGGATCTGAACGGTGGCCTGCTTCAGCTCTTGAGTCACGGTCTCGGTCTCGTTGTGGCGAGAGTGGAAAGTGACCATCTCCTTCATCTTGGAGAGAGACTCTTCGTGAGCCCAGCCGTAAGTCTCACGAACCGTGTGGATGCGCTTGCGCAGGACCTTGACGGCACGCTCGACCTGGGAGGTAGAGACGGACTCGGAGCTGGTCGATGTCACAACAGCAGCCTGTTCCTCGTAGATCGCATCCAGGGTGGCAGAAATCTCCTGGTAGTCGAGTTCCTCAGATTGGACCTTGAGCAACTCCTCGTACAGAGTGATCGCCTCGATCTCATAGCGCTTGGATTCCTGGCACAGCCTCGCAAGGGTCAAGGTAGCCTGGACCGAGATAGTGGCAGCCGCGGTGAAGACAGCCTTGACCTTGGTCTGGTATTCAGTGGTGATCTTGTGAAGCACGGTGAACTCAGTACGGACACTGCGTAGGCAGTGAGTGTACCGGGTGAAGAATTCCTGCACGAAGGTCTGATCCTGCAACTTGGGAAGCTGCTTGGGCTGGTTCAGGAAGGTAGTGAAGATGACCTTGTAGTAGTGCAGAGCATCCGAGTAGCGACCTTGGTTCCAAAGCTCAGTCGTAACGATGACGACAGGCTCGAAGGCATCCGGGTGGCAGACCGGAGAGTCCTTGTTCAAGGCGCGGATAATTTGCTGGTAGTAGTCAATGAAAATGGGACGAGGGCGAGTAAGCTCAGCCAGAATCCAAAGGTTTTTAATGACAATCGGGTGCTCAGGACCGTAGTGCTGGATGTAGTCGGTCAACAACTCCTGGCGAAGGTTGATGGTGTTGTCCGTACGCGAGTTGCGCTCGAACAAGCGGAGGAGCTCCGTGGTGGCACGTTCCCTGAGCTTGTCCTCGACCTTGCGACCAGATCGGACGGCACGGTAGATTCGGACACGGATGTCCTCCTCCTTGGTCAGGCGGCGGCGGGAGTGGTAGCATCGGCTGAGACGCTCGGCAAGCTCGACGCATCGCTCAACGTGCTGAGCAGGAAGGGTGACGTCCTGGAGCGAGGGAGCGAACAGGGAAGGCCAGACACCGTGCAGGACCTTCTTGATGACCCGGGTGGCGTCCTGCCAGCGGTGCTGCGAGACGTACAGCTCAACCAGGCTGTGGGTCGCGCTGAAGGAGGTCTGGTCCACGGTGGTGGTCGAAGTGGTGGCCTCAAAGACCATCTCCTCCAGAGTGGACTCCGAAGTCACGGTGGTGGATGAGATGACTGACTGCATCACTTCCTTCGAGGTGATCTGGATGCTCTGCTGCACCTCCTTGTAGCTGGAGGACTGGGTGCGGTTGGTGCTCTGGTAGAAGTGCGAGCAGTGCTTGAAGACGGTCAAGGCCAAGGTAGACAGACCGACGGTTTTCATCACCTTGGCGACCTCCTGGAAGTGCGAGACCGAGCTTTCGGAGATGGCCATGCTGGTCTGTTCATACTCCTGCCAAACGCTAGAGATGACAGAAGAGGCTTCAAATTCCCGCTTCTGCGAGTGCAGGAACTTGGTGTAGGCAAGGGCGGCCTTCATCTTGCGCTCCTCCCAGAGAGAAGAGTAGTTGGCGCGGTACTCCTTGCTCACATGCTGCCAGATCTCAACGTAGGTGAGTTCTGCGAGTTCATGCTTGCCCTCGGCGACGTACTTCTCGGCGCGCTTGATCAAGCTCTCGAAGTCGTAAGAGCCAGATTTCTCAATCAGCTCGTCGTGCTCCTCAACATCGAGAGAAAGGCCGACGCTGGCCTCAGAATCGACCTGACCACGGACTCGCAGATGCACGTGAAGGTTTCCACGGCTGTCATGGGACTCGGAACCATACTCGGAGGTGGTGATGGAGCGAACAATCTTGATGATCTCCTGAGCCTTGGTCTCCTCCTTGATCACGCGGTAGTGCTCAACCAGCTGCTTGTAGGTTGATACCACATTCTCGCTGGTGCTTCCATATTGAACCTTGTAGCATTCAATAAGGAGAGTCAGGATCTCTTCGCGCTTGGTCATGATATCCGTCTTGGTGTTGGTAACCTTCTCCGTGGTCAACTCAATGAAAGTGGTGGCCATTTGCACCGTCACAATGTGACCAGTGGTGAGCAACGTGCGACTGAGCGTAGTAGCCTCGTGGAACAAGGGGATGGCCTCAGGATAGTACTCAAGTCGACGGTACAGCTGAGCCAACGAGATGATGGACTGGAGGGTGACCACATGGTTTGTTGTGAAGACCTGGCGACAGATATTGGTAATGGTGGTCTGGTAAGAGAGCAGCTGGGGAGTTGGCTGGTTCTCCCACAGGGTGCTTGACAGAAGGAAGACCGTGGTCAAGTTCGGGAACACCTTCGAGAACGACTTTGCCGCAGGGACCTCGCCCTCGCTGGTATACACGGTGGTCTGCTTGAAGTGAACGGGCCAGTAGCGAATGGCAAAGTCCAGCAGAGGGTGCTTGTTCACGAGGATGTTGGTGTCGTGCCAGTCGAGAGGAGTCAGGGAAGGCTCGCTAGGCTGGATCACAGTGCTCTTGATGTAGAGCAAGAGTCTAGTAGCAAGATCAGCGTGGCGGTCCTTGAGGTTAGGGATCAATTTGCCCTTGGAGAACACATCCAAGACTGCGGTCCTAA